ATAAACTTAAATTTAAATTAATTTTAAAACTAAATTAAATTTTAAACTAGCATCTGATGATTGTAACGCCTTATATGGCTATATATTTACAAATGATAAGTCTTCCAAAAAAGTTCTTGCTGGTGGTTAAATTTCCAAACATTGTTGATTTCTCTTCGCTGATCGATGAATAATCTAAATATTTTAATATGCTTGACATGCCAAAGGATGAATTGTCTACTGTGTTATTCCTTTTATGAAACTGATCTTCAAAAAGTTCATTAATTATAACTGACTATAATGATCTATACAAAAATACTGTCTTATTGATTGTAGAATTTACAACAGATAATCTAAGAATTTAATAGGTATAGCATTATAAAAAGCAAAATAAATTTTAAAAATTTTTTTTGGAGAGAAAAGAAATAAATAATTTTTAGTAAAGTAATGATAACTTAATATAAGCTATAACAGATAAATTATAAAATTAAGGTAAAGTTTCACTTATATGATAAATTATTTACTATATGCTGTTTGAGTAAGATTAGCCAATAATATTTGAATATAAAGAAATACTATAAGCACATATCATATTACTTTTTCAATATATAAAGATCATCATTAAAATTTTTATATCAAAAAAAAAAAAATAGGTAAACTAAGTGAATTGAGTAGATCATTCACAATAGCTTTCTAAAATTCTAAGGAATTAATAAAGTATGCTACTAGCATCCTAGGTTATTCTAGATTAAAATTGAAAAAAAAAAATTCTAAGGATTGTCTACTTTAAACAATATTCTTATTGACTAATCCCAAATATTAATGTAAATTCTCTCCTCATTTTTATAATATTCACAAAATTCACATTCTTGACCATTTTCATTATCTTGATCACTTTCATTATCTTGATCACTTTTATTATTTTGATCACTTTTATTATTTTAATTATTTTTATTATTTTAATTATTTTCATTATCTATATCATCGTGACTTCTACCTTCTTCAACACCAATTTCTCTCTTTTTACCTAATGCTTTCTCAAAATCAAAAATTGAACTATCTTCAAAGCTGTCTACCTCTGTAAAAATACTACAGCACTTAAAAGACTATCAAATCATTGCAGAATCAATATCATCTCAAGCTTCTTTGATTCAGATTGCTACTAAAGAGTATAATAGATGTTTAATTTTGTCTAATAGCATATATTCCTTTATAGCTTCATTCATCTATTGATTATAAGCATAGCAAATCTATTTATAAAAAAATTAAGAATTTTTTTACACTAAAATCAAAATACTAATAGCTCTATCTCAAAATCTTAATAGACAAAATCTTGATAAGACAAAATCTTGACAAATTTAGCTAAATTTGTTAAAAATTTTGTTAGGATTTTATCTATTAAAATTTTGAGATAGATCCAATACTAACTTTTGTCTTAAATAGTTTGTTTAAAGACATATCTAATGGTTGCAAGCATAAAGTTAGTTTATTTGAAATTATAGCAATATCTATATTTTGCTCATGAATATGACGCTTTACAAGATCTATTTTATGTCTAGCAAATGCATCAAGAACAAGAAATGAATGTAGATTTAAGCCCAAATTAGCTTATTGATGCTATATATTCTCCAATCACCAGATTATTTCTGTTTTGTTTATCTAATCACTTGAATTCATATGGACATATACACTATCAAAAAACCTTTCTTAGGATACATTAACTAATTTAAAAATAATGAATAGCAGAAGTTTAGTACCATCTGCAATATAGGCTATAGTTACTATAAAACAGATACATTCATAGCTTGTTGTAAAAATTGAAATAGTTTTTTTTTCAGATTTCTCAACTGTTGTTTGGTTTAGTATATTAAATGCAATAGAGGTTTCATTTATATTTCCTATTAAGTTTAAAGAGTAATTATATTCAGATTATTGATAAAGAATAAATGATAAAAAACTCTGTTGTTCTTCAATATATTCTTCAGACAATCATTGTATGACTGTAGTGCATTAGCAGTTTACTAAAAAATGGCATAACATAAAACTATCTACCTACTTGTGAGAAAATTGATATCTATAAATATCAGGATATAAAGTATGATATTCTTGTTTATTAGCTAAACTGTAAGCTTTTATTTCAATCATAAACTGGTCACTGTCTTTAGTTAACTTTGCAACTTACAAAACTATTCTAAAAGTTTATTTTCGAGCTACAGATACTTAGGTTGTGTACTAGTATTAAGTCTTTGAATATACAGTACTATATACATTAAGTTACTTTTTTGTTCTTCTAGTCACAAACTTGCTTTAGTTCGATTTCAAATTTATTTGCTGTTGCTCGAATACTATGCCTATTTTCTTGATAAAGCACAACTATCAACTTTTTA